AAGACACTGCTCATATTTCAGGAAGTCACCTAGGAAAGAACTTCCAGGTACTTGTCTTCCTTCTATTATCTTCTTCTTCCCACCCCATGTTTCAATCTTGCAATAATTTCTGAAGCATTGTGTTACTGTTAAAGGTGTTGACCTGGATGAGTGTTGTGGGGTAAAAGCATCTGAAGTGACCTGGTTAGAAGAGATTCAAGCACCTGAAAACCTGGTTGTCAGGAGAGGTCTGTACAGAGGCCCTACTATCAGACGATGAAGGATATAACTAATTAGTATTTATATAACTTTAGTCAGTCAGGCATGACTAGAAACTAAATATGATGGGGATATAAATTGCAGATGGTACATCTTGGAAATAATTAACCATCTCATCTGTATGGTTGATAACTGTACATACTATGATAAACGGTGGCAGTTAATGTTGGCTAAACCTATGTATCCCTGTTATAACTTACTTTTTTTGGATTAGAGGAATAGCACCAACATGAGAATCATTGGTGAAAATACGAACTTGCTTCGACATGCTTTAAGAGATTGAAAACAGTTTCCAACCTTTCTTTAGCCTGTGTGAAGAGATTCTATCAACTAAACCCTCTCACCAACAAGGGATAAATACTTGTCTTAAGAATTAATATACAAGGATAGAACTAATAATCTCGTTATCACCTACTCATATTATGATTTTCATCTTCATTATTGGATAAGACTCTGAAAATGAAGAGGCAAGGACAATGAAATTAAGATCTTAGTAAGTGAAAAATTAAGAGGAGAGTTTGTCTCATTACAAGTTAAAGTTAAACCTTGTTAATAATGAGATTTTTTTTTTAGTGTTTGAGAGATGTTGGATGGGGATGCAGGAACGCATGCGCTACTGGGCCTTACTCTGGATTGATGATATATTTGTTAGACTTTTTCAATTTACACATTTCAATTCATTATATCCTTTTTGTTTTTATTATAAAAATATGTTTTTATATAAATATAATAATATTTTTCCATATAAATATAATAATATTTTTCCGTACTTGCTTGTATATTTTTAAATCTTATTCTATTCCTTGATTACAGTGTTTTAAATTCGATATTGATAATGCATATTCGACAGTCACATGTACCACATTACTTGTTTTTCGTTGCTTAATAATGTGTGCATGACTTTAAAAAAAAATACTAATATGAAAATCCTTTTCTAAAATAGTACATAATTGATAGAATTTCCAAAAACAAGAAGAAATTTTGAGAAATAATTTTTTTTTAAATGTTTGACAAATAGACGAATTGGAAGACAAAAGAATCACATTCATAAAAAAAAATCGTAAACGAAGATAGTGTTTACAGAAGAAAACAAGTTTGAACAAGTATGAACTAACCAGACAAATAAATAAATAAGAAAGAAAGGATAGTTAAAGGAGGTATACTTAATAAATTGAAAAGTATAAATAGCAAAGGCTATTAGTTATTTTTATGTGATTACAGGTCACAGATCCAGATTCTTCTGGTAGTGATAGAAAAAGAATTTCATTCCTTTTGACACCTACATGTTAATCACATTTAAAACATGAAAACGAGTTTAACTATGTTAAACTATTAACGTAATTAATTAATAAGAAATTATTATAATTATAGTAATGATTTTGTTACGATATAATAATACAAGAACATGTTTTACTAATAATTATTATAAAATTAATAATATCATCATCATGTTACATTAAAAATAGAGGTTTGAAGTAACAAAGAAGACGAACTTTGATGTTTTATTTCTTTCCTTGCATTTCTCGTGTATTTTTTATTTTTTTTTAAAATCCATAAACACAGCTATTCTCTTCACTACTTAAAAAATATGTTTTCTTCACCAATCATATTTTACATTTTTATCCCTATCTTATAATGCTTAAATTATGACATTGTTGTGTTCTTTAGATACTTCTAGAATTTGTTATTTCTTTCTTATGTGGTGGATCAAACTGTGATTACCTTTTTTAAGATATAATTGATTGACTACATTCAAAGGACATCAATTCACCATTTATAAGATTTTAAATATTCAAACATGACAACCATAAAAGTCTTCATTTAAGGATTTCCTTAAACTCCTATCCACTTATCTTTTCGTCCACAAAATGTCACAGGAAGATCAGGTAAGTTGGAAACGTCAAATGTATTTCTCTAAAACTCCATCAATATTAATATAAAGTAATATAAGCATACAAAATTATAAAATTTGAATAACTGGTGGGTTGAGTCGAGGGATTTTGTATTAAATATGTAATGTTTAAGTGAGTTATTATATTATGATGACTCTGTATCTTGTTATGATGTTTGAATGTTTGTAGGTTAGTTCACACTTGTTATAATAATTTTATACAAGAGTAGATGATCATAAGATATCGAGAAATATGCATGATACTAAGAATAATAATCAATATTGAAAGACGTTTGAGGTAATATTTTAGTCTTAAAAATTTTCTTTTTAACAAAGTTCATAATTTTAAAATAATATCTTTTTTTATTGAAATTTTCAATAAAATAGGAATTAAATTTTATTTTAAATGATGTAATTTTTATTAATTATAGATTTTAATAAGGAAAATTTGAATGTTAGAATAAGTCCTAAACTAACTTTATATTTACACCGTCCTAACTTGACGTTGAATTTAAATCTTCTCTTACCAATAAAAATAACATCCTTAATATTATGATTCAAATATAACATTTTCAAATTCTTTTATTTTAAACTTATTTTTATTGAATTAAATATTACTAACAATAAAAAAATTCGCTTTAATGATATATTCATTAATTTATTTAAATTTAAAATAGTTACATATGCTTAAAGAAAACTGATATTTTTTATTTATTGTTGACTAGTTATACTTAGCCCCAGTCCTTGAATCTTAAGCATTATTGATGTACAACTGTGACTATAGTTACTTACCAACAACTCTATAATTTGATATATTTAATTGCTAACATTAATAGTACTTTAAAAAAATTAATGATAGTCCTTTTGTATTTTTTTTTATGTTAGCGGAGGGAAATTGTTCAGGTTAAGAACCAGTAAGATGGAATGAACTGTGTGTAAAAATGTAATTCTCATTTGTGAATTTTGAATCATTAGTAATATATTATTTTGTGTGTGAGAAATATGAAACTAAAACTACATAAATATTTGATGATTGTACATGATACTAGATATTAATTATATTTCAATAACAAATAATATAATAACAACAAGTGATAAATTTTATTAAAATTAGTTTTTTAAATTTTAGCATCATCTTAAAAAGTAATTTTAAACATAATTTAATTATATAAAATTAATTTATAAAGTAAAATTTACTCACATTATAAATTCATCGTATTTTTTTAGATAACGTGAAATCTCCAACCATCATAAAAGAAATAAAAAAAATAGAGTGAAAATTCAAAAAATGATTATTTTACATTTAATGGTAAGACGTTGTAAACTTTGTAAAAAACAAAATAAATAGACGAAGAGTAAATGGCTATGTATTTTTGGACAATTGCCATGCGCTAGGAAGGAGTGATAGTATAATATAATGAAGAATGTCAACTCTGTTGCACATGAAAGAGAAAACAAAACTTCTGTTTTTCAGTGCTTTAATAATAGGCCATTATATATTTTCGTCCCTTTTTACTTTATATCTTCCCATATCTGTCATCATTTAAGTCTCATCCTTAGCACAACCATACACTTCACAAGCAAATTTGTGGAGTTTGGTAGTGTTGTTTATGCTGTGCCAAAATCTAAGAGCAGTATACAGGTCCTCTTAGTGATAATGAGTCAAAGGGAAAGAGCCTTGGAAGCTTTTGAGTTGGAGGGAAAAACCATAAAAATATGCCCTATTTCATCACCACATGTTACCAGAGAGAGACAACTTTTCCTTCTTTCTTTATATAATATACATCTTCATTTTGAATTACCCAACTTGTATGCGTAAATGTTTACCTCACTTTGGTAACACTGTGCCTTATAACGTATCTGAATCAAATGATATGCTACATATACTTTGTTGCTGGGCTCAAATATGGACATCACACAATAGGCAAATAAGAACTAGTACTGTTTACTCTCTGTTATTGTGATGGGTGGTGTCCTTTCTGAAGCTTTTAAACATTAATTCTCACCTTTAACAGGGCGTGTATGGAATCTGAGATTGACAGAGACAGTGATAGATTAAACCATACATAGTCGAGGGTGTGTAATAACGATTGAAAGAGCCGAGTGCATTATCAGAAGTCAATAAAGAGGATGAAAATTTCAACTTTCTACCCTTTTTTAGATTGCTTTTGGAACAAAGTTAATTCAATTGTCAAACAATTGTTAACGAATCCTATTTCTCTCCCTTCTATAATTCATTCTTCTTACTACAATAGGTTAAAAAGTGAAGTGATATGACGTGGATAAATCATATAATTGGTTACCAAGTTACGTAAAGAAAGGTATATTTTGACCGATAATGCGTGTATATAGGAATAATTTTCTTCATTATTGGATGAGTTGATATAATAATCTCTCATGTTCCCTCTCCGTGCATGGAAGTCTAAAAGTTGTAGAGTCAAGATTCTAGTCATAGCTCATGCACTGATATTAAATTGTCGAATGTGCATCAATGATATTATATTGCAATCATCAGCTGTGGTTGAAAGTGCTACAAAACACTAAATTTTACACGTCCTTGTTTATGCACATTTCCCATCAAAATTTTCTGTTTTTATAATCCACGCATCCCCAAAGCACTGCATTATTTTGGCTGTTCAATTGCTAATTCCTTGCCAAAAGTCGGACGTCATAGTTACACATACATTGGAAGGGGCCTGTGGAAACATGTGTTATATTTGAAGAAAAATAAAACAGTGGTTCTGAAATAAGGGAAAAGTCTAAGTTTAGGTGAGAAAAAAATTGAAATATGTTGGTGAAGATTGGGCCCCACGATACTTGCACGAATATTGATGTTATAGCTATCATGGTGAATGTTTGACAAAATATTTCACCTAGCTAACAAAGCAAGGTCTTTAACACAGGTCAAACAATTAAGATAATCACGAGCCAGAAGAGAGAAGGGTGGTAGATTGTAACAACTGTCAAGGAAAAGAGTCTGAAGCAGAGAGAGATAGAGAGAAGGTGGTAGTTGTCACATGATTTCCAACAGTTCAAAAGGGACCAGCCGCGTCTGCTTCCATTATGTAGGTTTATTGCAATTTAAAGGGAACAAGTAGTCTGTCTGAATTTTGTTATTCTCAATATTTCCATTTTTCCTTTCCAAACCAATTAGTCTTTCTTTCTACCATCTTCAATTTGTTCAGTCTGAATTAATTATGTTGTGGAATCAATGATTTACCACAAAGACATCCCTAGCAAAAACCAGGCATCAATTTTCATTTCCTATCCCTTTCTTTCACACCCTACACCCATATGATTCAGGACTAATCCACTTCAATCCCTTCATGAATTATTCCTTAGTCTAGCTGGGCGATGGAGCTTTCCGAAGATGACTGATTTCAAGATATGTTTGGATATGCATCATCTTCTTCTTAGACTTGGGAGAGAAAGACATCATCTTCTTAGATGGTTAGTATTACAATTTAGGGGAGAAAATTTGGATAAACACCTAAACATTATGCAGTTTGCTATGCTTTTTGGTTATTTTTGTTTCTTTATCCTGTTAGTAGTGATTTAATCTATAAATTCTTCCCATCTCCCTTTAAGGATATTCTTAGGACCATGGATGTTCCTTAATTTCTTTTTCTTTTCTTGCCATAGCTCTTCTTGTCCTCCACTCGCTGCAGGTTGTTGAAGATTTCATAATCACTTGCCAACTTCTGCCCCAAAGATAATTTTTCGTTTTCTTTTCTTATAGAACTTTTTATCTAATCATGCAACATGCGTTTTGTGTATGATGAGTGCGACTGTACTTTGAAAATCTCTGATTTACTCATCATTTTGTGTGATCATATATCTTGCTGTTATATACAAGGGTTGTGTGTTATGGACACCTTGTTCTTATCCAGACTGTCCATTTCACAAAAAGCACATACATAGTTGACAACTAAGAACTTGCTTTGGTTTATGAACTTGCTATTTTTCAAATCATCTGAACTTGGATGGAACTTGGTGTTATCAGTGGTTAAATGAAAATCATTGAGTTTATTGACTTAAAGTTAAATGATACGTAAACGAATTCGTATTCCCACACAATTTTCATCTGTCTTGTTGTTCGGATTTCTTCTTCAAGCCTTAAATTAATTTCTAACCCCTTTCTACACGAGTCTTGAGTATTCCATAACTTGGTAAATTTTTTATTTTCATATAAAGGGCACTTACAAGATAAAATTCTTTAAATATGTTTATCTAAACCTGGCATTCATTAGATTTTCTTTCTCACCTAAGTTTGGTTGCATTATTTACTAGAGTCTTGATTTTCGAACCACTTCGATTTAATCAACAGTACATACACATGCATGTAATATTTGTCTGTAATGGGGATCCATCCAGTATAATAAATGTTTTTTGCCATAAATTTGTCACTTTAGTTACTTTACCATCAATTCATAGCATTTCCGTGCAGTTACTTGAACAGATTTAAAGCATAGTAATTGTTGTTGAGAAATTACAGCCTGTCCTCACAGGCTCACACATTCTTGTTCACGTTACTTTAATATGCTGCACATTAAAATATTTCCTGTTTGTTTCAGACCTGAAATTCCAACTTTGTAAAGAACGAGAAAAGTCGATTGGTTGGACGAAAAAACCCGTGCAACAACAAGTAAACATGTCAGAAGGACATGAGATTCATAACAATGAGGAAATTTCATCTGGATGTTCCCAGAAGTGCTCTTCATTTGACTTGAATGCAGAAGCTTGCAGTGACGATAACACTAATGGTAATACAGAAGATGGGTATGAGCTCACAACAAACGAGAATAATGTTGAGAAAGTCAACGACGAGGGAACTTCAGGAAATGGAAGTAGCATTTCTAGAGAAGGAAATGCCAGAAGAGGAACTGTGAGACAATATGTTAGATCCAAGATGCCTCGGCTTCGGTGGACTCCTGAACTTCATCATTCATTTGTGCATGTTGTTGAAAGACTTGGTGGTCAAGAGAGTAAGTACTTGTTACTTTCTGTATCTTCCAAAGCATCACTGCGCATATATATATATATATATATATATATATATATATATAATTATCCGACGAGTTCTACGAATTGTTTTGTGAAATGAAGCCTTTCTTATGAAAGAGTTAACACGTTTCATTGAACTCGGCATTTACTTGGTGCAGGAGCAACACCCAAGTTGGTGCTTCAGCTAATGAATGTGCAAGGACTCAGCATTGCTCACGTCAAGAGCCACTTGCAGGTAGCCCAAATTCAAGTTTCAGATAAATGCTCTCTTTAGTTATCTTTTTTCTTAAAGTGCGTTTTTACAAGTAATAAATGCGCAGGCTGATAAACTCGCTCGTCAAAATTTGTTCATTTCAGTTGATTTAGCGAGTATTTGAAAATGTTCTTCAAGCCTATCATATCATGACAGTTCTTTATTGAACTATTTTTCTTTAGTAGGGTTTATTTAGATGAACTAAAAATCATCGTGAGTTAAACTATGGGCTACTTTCGTAAGATTCTTTCAAAACAAAGTTACTAAATTAAATGTTTGTTTATTCAAAAGCATCTGTTGTTGATGCATATATAATCAATATTCAACTTTTTTTCAGATGTATCGAAGCAAGAAACTTGACGAGGCTGGGCAAGGTACTACTATACTATACTAATTTCTTGTAATTTGTAATGGTAATGAGTTCTAACTTGCTATTTAGTTTTGCTAAACTTAAACTGAACAAGGGATATCGACGGAAGGGGTTTTTCCAATAACTAATACTGAATTAACGAAAATGATGTAGCTAGTAAGGATTTAGGGTTAGGGTTTCTTTGTGTTAGTGAAACACATACCTTGAACATTTTACAATTCAGTTATGTTTACTTTGCAGTACTAAGTCAAACGTATAAGTGGAATCAAAACCAAAAGTTACGTAGGTCTGTGATACTGCATGAGTCCATGAATCCTCAACAACATCTAAAGATGGGGAATGGTGGAATCATTCTGGCAACTCAATTCAACAAACATTGTCATTTTCCAAGTCTCGTGGACACACCCTTTCCCTTGTCACCATCCCATACAAATGACACTGATTCAAGGTAACAGAACAAACTTTTAAATAACTTCTTCATTTGCTTCATCGGATTTGTTCAAGACAAAAGGGTTATATTATATATCTACGTTATAAAATATTTTTCGTTTTTTCGTTCGATTATAATTTATGTACAAGCTGTTAGTTTTTATAATTAAATACAATTTAATAACAATGTTGTATTTACCCTTTTCTCACCAATTCTTGTAAATTACATCTTAAAATTAATACTCTTTCCCTATAAATTTTGCTATTTTGAAATTTAATTTTTATTATTATCTTTAGTTTAACTCTTCACTTCTATTAATTAATATTCTCTCTTCATAAACTATTATTAGTTTATATTGTTACGGTTATTTTAGTAAAAAAATATGATAATAGTTAAATATTTATTAATTTATTTGCACTAACTTTAAATTTAAGATGGGGGACCCTTTCAAAAAGTTACTACAAAAAAAAACGTGGTCAGATAATTGCAATTCATGTTCAAGTTCTTGGTCTTGTTGCTTTCACGATTTTACAAAACAGAAAATTTAACAAAATTATTTTATAGTAACCCTTGTCTGCAATTCTCTCTAGGCAGCAGCAATGGTACATCAATCATCAAACTTTTAGAAAATCAATAGCTTCTGGCCATATTCAGGCAAAGGATACAACTACGAGACCAAGCAAATTGCTTGAAGAGAAAAGCTGGCTTCCGTTAGAAATTATAAGCAATCATCAATCCAAGTTCCAGAAGTTACCTGCCACTGTAGCTCCAAAAAATTATGGATCACAAGCAGTTCAGCTAGCTGAATGGAGCTTCGTGAACAAAACAAGCGTCACAGAATATTTATCGAACAAATCCAATGAACCTCGCAACTATTCCAACAGTTTAAAGCTACAATTTGATCCACCATTTCGGATTAAGGTAAATTAATTAACAAGGTTTTAACAAGAATAAGAACATTGTGCACTTTGTTTCTTCAACATAACGCGAAATTATTTGATTTGTTATGCAGAAAGACGAACAAGAATTACCTAATTTGCAACTGGGTTTGAGTTACACAATTGCAAGCGATGGTGACAAGATGGATCATTATAAAGAAACCCAAGAAATCAGCACCAAGCTTTCACTTTCTTAATGTTAATAACCCAGAGCCTAGCTAGCTAATTATATAAATAGAGAGACCATATATTCAAAAAAGAATAGATTCACAAGATCGACCAATGTCTGTACAAGACATGGGGGACATGTTAGTGCTTTTTAATTTGAATCTACATAGGATCTGCTTGTGAAAGGAATTGTTTCAGGATTGACCATGAGTTAGAATTATCCATTTTTGTGTCCAAATGATTGCTTACACTAGTAAAAAATCGGGTTTTTACAGCGCACATTATGCCACGGTTCAACGAAAACCGCAGCATAATGGTGCGCGGTGGCA